AGGGGGGGGAAGAAGAAGAGGAGGAGGAGGAAGAAGCAAAAGAAGAGGAGGAGGAAGGAAAGGAGGAAGAGGAAGAAGCCAAGGATGATGAGGAAGAGGAAGAAGCAAAAGAAGAGGAGGAAGAAGGGAAGGAGGAAGAGGAAGAAGTCAAAGAGGAGGAGGAAGGGAAGGAGGAAGAGGAAGAAGCCAAAGAGGAGGAAGAAGAAGAAGAAGGGAAGGAGGAGGAGGAAGAAGCAAAAGAAGAGGAGGAGGAGGAAGGAAAGGAGGAGGAGGAAGAAGCCAAAGAGGAGGAGGAAGAAGCCAAAGAGGAGGAGGAAGAAGTAAAGGAGGGAGAGGAAGAAGCAAAAGAAGAGGAGGAGGAAGGAAAGGAGGAAGAAGTGAAAGAGGAGGAAGAAGTGAAAGAGGAAGAAGATGTGAAAGAGGAGGAAGCAGAAGAGGAAGAAGAGCAAAAAGAGGAAGAAGAAACAAAAGAGGAGGAAGGGAAGGAGGAAGAGGAAGAAGGAACAAAGGAAGATGAGGAAGAAAAGGAAGATGAGGGTCAAACAAAAGAGGAGCAGGAAGTTGAAGAGGAAGAAGCAAAAGAGGAAGAAGAGGGAGAAAAAGAGGAGGAAGAAACAAAGGAGGAGGAGGAAGAAAAAGAGGAAGAACAAGAAGAAGAAGCAGCTCAAAATGAAGAGCAAGAAGCTGAAGAAAAGTCTGAAGGTGAACAGGAAGGTGAAAATGAAGCTGAAGAAACAGAGGAGCCAGGGGATGAGGAAGTCGTGGCTGATGATGAGGCAGAGACATCAGAATGCAGAGGAGATGCTGAGGGCTCTGGAACTGACAACAATCCTGAGGGAGATGCTGTGGAAGGAAATGAAGAAGCTGAGCAAGATGAAGCTGAGGCAGAAGAAGATGCAAAGCCAGAGTCAGGAGATGAGGCTGAGGAGAAAAGCAGTGGAAAAGGTGAGAATCCTGATGAGAATGATGAGGAACCCACTGGGGATGACCCTGAGAATGCACATGAAAAACACGAAGACCAAGGCAACAACAAAGTTTCTGAGAAAGCCTCAAAGACCAAAGGTAAGAGAACCAACAAAAGGTTAGAGACTCTGAAAAAATCCACGGCCTTTTCTTGTTATTCTTCTGTCGGAAACTTCTCACAGCAATCCCAGAAGGGGTCTGATGATGAAGAGGAAAGAGTAGATGAAGAGGAAGGAGGAGTCAAAGAGGAAGGAATAGCTGAAGAGGAGGCAGTTGAAGAGGAATGCAAAGGTGATGATAACCCCACCAATGACCACCCAAATGGAGAAGTTCAAAGTGATGAGAGCTCCAAACCCTCTCAGATGTATCCCGACAGTGACGAAGAAGAAGAGGACAAAGAATCTTCAGGTTCTGATCCCGTGGGAGATGAGGAGCACCCAGATGCTGAAGGTGCAGATCCAAAGGAGGCTGAAAACACTGAGGAAGTTCAGGCTGCTAAAAAGAAAGAAAACTCTGATGAGATTGACCAGGATGACCTGGACTTCTAGAACTGCTGACTAAAAACTGACTTTTTCTTTCTTTCTTTCTTCCTTTCTTTCTTTCTTTTTTAAAAGTATATTTTCATTACATATCTCAGCATCTCTGGTGAGTTGAGCCCTCATAATCGGCTTTTCTTCTGAGCTAAATGTGTTAAACTCAATCTTGAATCCTGTGAGTAATGTTGCAATTACCTGCCCTCATTTCTAGAGGGCTAGTAGCTCATTAATATCCTGTGGTCTCAATAGATAGGTGGTTTGGGGAAAGGGAAGGCTGTTTTGTTTGGGGTACCTTCTAGCTCCCACCCTTTAAGCCATGCTGTTTGCTGCTGGAGTGATCTGTGGCTCTGCTGGGCATCTTCTCTGTGGGTGACCTTGGGATGCCTTTCACCTGCTGCACGCCATTTTCCTGGAGAGATTGCCAATCCACAGAAACACGACAAAATCAGGATTCATTGCCAAAGTCTGGTCAGAGCCCACAGAGATGTACATTGATGTACATTCATCTTCCTCCCTACCCCACCTCCCCTATACCCTATATATTTATCTTGTCCTCACCTACCCCACCTCCTCTGTACCCAGAAAAAAGTGTCTGAGGTAGCAAAGATTTACCCCATTTCCCTCTTTTTTTTTTCCCTTTAGTTGATGTTGAGCTCATTGCTCATTTCACTGGAAGCCTCAACGTGGAGAAAGGTCTTTCCAGTAGATCCTCTTCCAGACCCCATCTCTTTGTACTGTGCTCATCACTGTAGTGGTAGATAAAAAAGATTAGTTAATTCACCCTGTCAAGTCTCTCAACTCAATAATGACCAAATTAGGGATAGATCCAATCCCTTGTGATGTCCTTTTCTATGCCAATGATGGTATTGAAGCACTTTACAACCAGCTGGGATCCCTCACACAATTTTGCACAAGGCCCTGTTCTGGAGCTGATGGGATTTGCAATGGCTTGATGCCCCATCCTTGCACACAAAATTTAAACTAATTTCCCCTTTAACATGGAAAAGCTTTGGACATTTGTGCTGCAGCAAACAGCTGGAAGAGGCTGAAGCATTTATTGAAGAGCTTGGACTTTACAAACCACAATAGAACTGCAAACTTCATTTAGCAAATGTTTTTTACCAGATTGTAACTTTTTTCTTTTTCTTTTTCCCTTCCTCTGGGAAAATATAAACATTTCTGGATGAATGCCCAACTAATGCCAGGAGAAGTTTGACAATACCTCAGCTGCATACTTGTGTAAAACTCTTAGGGACACAGTTCATTTTATCAGAAATTTGCAGGGAGAATGAAAGAGAGGGGTTGAAAACAAAATGCCTTAAATTGTATGGAGAAAAAGTATGTGTGTAGTGTTGTGTTGGGTTTGTGAAGATGTATGCTAACGTGCTTAAATAATCAGTATTCCAAATTAAATAATTCCTGTGGTTTTCATTTCTAGAATCCATTTTTCAAACTTACAGCCAGAGATAAGATTCATTTCAGTCAAATGAAGAACTGGGTTCAGCTCCAGAGGCAAACACCTAATTTTGGGTCTCTGAGGAGCAGGGGAGTTTGGGAGAAGGCAGTGGAGAGCTGGATCTCAGCTGAGTTTTTCCCACAAGGGCTGACAATGCCTTCAGGAAGATCATCCAGGGACAACAGCACCATCCTCTAGATGGAGAAGTTAAAATAGCCTTCCTCAAAAGAAGGACAATCCTATCTGTGAGCCTCATGGAGTCACAGAATGGTTTGGGTTGGAAGGACCTCGAACATCATCCATTTCCAACCTCCTGCCATGGACAGGGACAACTTCCACTATCCCAGATTGCTCCAAGCCCTGTCTGTCCCTGGACACTTCCAGGGATCCAGGGGCAGCCACAGCTTCTCTGGGCACCCTGTGCCAGGCCTCCCCACCCTCACAGGGAAGGATTGCTTCCCAATGCCTAACTTAAATCTCGTCTCTTTCAATTTTTATGCATAAAGTAATCAAGTCCAGAGCATCAGGTCCAGCTGTTAACCCAGCACTGTCAAACCCACCACTAAATCATGTCCCCAGATTCTACATCATGTACAGAACACTTTTGGTTTCATAATCAGATTTGTGACACATCAGTCCATGCACGATTCCAAAAAGAGCTGCGCCTGGTAGTCACAGCTCTGATCCTGACATGAGGAACAGACTGGAAGTGGTACATGTTGAGTGAACTCTAAACATTCCTGGTGAAATGTGTCCCCCCTGAAACACCCAGACTCCCACCATAACCAGCAGAGAGAGAGGGGCAAACCCTGTGATTCATCTGCAGCTCCCTTAGGAGGAGGGGTACTGCACTGCCAGCAGGCACATTTCTACCTGCAGAGTGCACAGGGAGCCTAGACAACCTCCTCAGATAAAAATCACACAAACACAGAATAATTAGGTTCTAAAAGACCTCCAAGACAATCAAGTCCAACCTGTGACTGACCTCCACCTTGCCACCCAGACCAGAGCACTGAGTGCCTCATCCAGTCATTCCTTGGACATCTCCAGGAGTGGGGACCCCACCACTCTCCTGGGCACCCCTTCCAAAATGTCCCAATGGGAAGAGCTGATTTTACTGTAGTTATTCTAAAGCATCTTATCTTCATGACTTTCAGGCTGTCAGGCAACAGCTCAAGCCAGTCATTCCATGGAAGTTTTAAAAGTTGGGGTTTTTTTGGCTCCAAGATAACAAGGGGAATGGCTTCAAACTGAAAGAGTTTAGGTTGGATATTAGGAAAAAATTCTTCCTGTGAGGGTGATGAGGTCCTGGCACAGGGTGCCCAGAGAAGCTGTGGCTGCCCCTGGATCCTTGGAAGTGTCCAAGGCCAGGTTGGATGGGGCTTGGAGCAACCTGGGATAGTGGAAGGAGTCCCTGCCCATGGCAGGGGTGGGAACTGGGTGATCTTTAATTTCCCTTCCAACCCAAACCATTCTGGGATTCTATGCCTGCCTTTCTGTGCTATTGCTTAAAGTCACTGTTGGAACTTAACAGGTTAGGGAAAGGGCAAACATTTCCCAGGATTTCTCCTGAAGCTGCTGACTTTGATCACTTTAAAGCTGCTTACACAGTCAACGCCACACCCTGCTCATGTTGAATCAGTCAGTTCCTCACCTTGCAGCACGGGCAAGGAGAAAAACAAAAAGGAACACAAAAATGCAGCTGTCAAATGATGAAAACTGAAATCACCCAAGGTCCTGCCCAGGAGACCTGTCCCACTCACATCTGTGTTTGTCACCATGTCTGGGCAGTGACTCACACATGTGCCAGTCACAGCCAGGACAGAGTGAGTTCTGCTCACCAAAATCCCCACTCAGAGGGGCCAGGGAGCAGCCAGTGGGGATCCAAGACAGATGTTGCTGAAGGAGGTGCCTCCTTCCTCCCCTAGCCTCATCCAGGATGGCCCAGAGAAGGAAGCAAGCAGCTGGAAAGGATCCCTCACAGCCACATCCCTGCTGCTTGCTCGGCTCCCGGCGTTTGCATTTCCCCTTGGCTGCGGTGACTCAGGCGCCTGTTGGGTCTTGCAGCTTCCCCTCTCCCTCTGACAGCACAGGAACACGTGTTCCCAGCCAGCTCCAGGGCTGTCACGTTCAGAGGGGCTGGGGAGATCACTCCTGTCACCACCTGGGAGGGATTACAGCTGCTGTCTTTCAGCAGGGCTGAGGAGGAGGAGGAGGGAGCAGAGGCGACGTGAGGCTTGCACGGCCGCACTTCGTGTTTTCCTGTGATCCTCTGCCTGGCTTTGGGGTGGTTGTTTTTGTTCCTTTACCAGCCAGACAAATTGCTTCTTGATCTGCCTCAGTTTTGTTTTACCTCTGCTTGGTTTTGAAATGGGAAATATCCAGTGAAAGATGAGGAGGAGCGTGGTGAAAATTCAAGTGCAAACCACAGAAATGAAGGAAATATGCTTCCCAAAGCTGAGGTCTTTGCAGATGTGTGTGAGCAGACTCCTCTCACTAATGGAGAGCAATAATCCCCCTTTCCTGGTGGCTCCTTGTTGACACAGTGCCATATTTAGCTCCAGCCACTTGAAATCCCAGCTGCCTGACAGGAAAGGGTGGTTTGTTGTTATTTCTGGACCTCAGGCTCCTCCAGTAGGTTTTGCTCTGAAGGGCAGGGAGAGTTTCCAAGCTGATTGTGGATGTGCCCTGCAAGCTCCCTCTTTTTTTTTAATTGGAAGGTGGAGAACTTTGCACTGCAGGGCTTGATGGCTCCTTGGCAAAGTGCAGGAATCAGTGCTCCTCCTGGATTGGATGGGATGGGAGCACTCAAATCCGTGCACGCATCAAGCTCCAGGCGTTTGGGAGGTGCAAATGTTTTGCTCCAAAAGTGTGACACTCCTTTCCTAGGGGTAAATCCATCAGTCCCACTGCTCCTCCAGAGAGGCACTTCCTCAAGGCTGCAAGAAGAGTGATGAGGACACGGGATAAAAAATACACAAAACTGCTTTAAACTCTGACCGTGCATTAAATCCTTGGTCACACTCAGTCCCTTCAGCTTGCCCTGCTCCAGCTGGGATTCCTTGAACCAAACACTTGGGAAAGGGTGTCTAAAGAAGGCTTTAAGCAAACACAGGCTGCCTGGGGCTGTGGGATCTCTCACCATCTTTGCTGATGGAGCTGCCCTGCTTTTGGTGAAAAATCTTCCCAGAGCTGCAGGATAAACTCAGCACAGAGAGGGGCTCATTCTGCACCTCTGAATGGTGAATGACCCAGTCTTTTACATCCCAGAAAAAATGCCAAGACATCTCCTGAGCTGTGTCCATCCAACACAGCTTTCTAGGAGGTGACTCAACTGGGAATTCCCTAATTATTCCAGTCCTTTCTTTTCTGGTGTGCTCAGCTAGGTGTGTGCACATCCTCTACATGCCAGGGAAAGGGAGGGATTATTTAGGGATGAATTCCTGATATTCCAAACCTCTTGCTAAAGGCAGAAGTAGAGGTATTTTATGTGATTCTTTAGAAAATATGAAGCCTGGAGATGTTTATTTTCTCATGCCCCTCAGCCACAGCCCCCATGACCTTGTCAGGCGCAAGGAGCAACCTCCTTAACCCTGTGGCCACTTCTAATTTTAACTCCCTGCCCTCTGATCCAAGCACCAGGGTTAGTGCAGCTCCAACAGGAAACATCCCTTGCTGACCTTTCTAATTCCAGGAGCTTGATGCTTGCTTATCCCTGCAACCCACAGGAAAACCCCTACCTAAGAGCCACCTGCACCGTTCGCAAGGAATCCCATTTTGCGGCAGCTGAGAGGATCCAGCTCCCCTGCTTGGAAAAGGATGTGTTTATTCTCAGCCCTGTGGTGTGAAAGTGGGGCTGGAGTGTGAGGGTGGAAAGGTCAGGCTGTGACAGGCTGGTGGGTTTTTTATTTTCCCCTCAGTAAAAAGGGCTCTGTCTATTGCAGAGTGCTGGC